AAGGAAATTGAAGATTGAGTCGAATCAATAGTTGGCTACCCTCGATGTGAACAAAAGTTTCAGACGTAATATCTCAATATATACTAGCTGAGTTACCCGGCGTTGCACGGAAAAAATTTAGATTTGAAATGTATAGATCAGTATTTTTTTCAGCAAATTATTCAGTAAGTAGACAAAAGCTGTGATGCGAGAAATAAAAAAGCATTTAATCAAACAAAGCTTTATTTGAAATTAGAATTTACAATATTTCTTTTTTATACAACATTGCATGTTTTTCCAAAAGGAGAGTATACATAAAGATTGTTAGCTGTTCCTACTCCAGAGCATCCTACATACAGTTGACCATGAGATGTGCTGATTGTAGATATAATGACTTTGTTGTCATGGTCAAAAAAATTTATTACAAAAAAATGGCGCAATAATCATTAATTGTCAATTTCGTCATTAAATACTGTACCAAATACAAAATAAATAGCACCATTAAATTTCTTGTAAAAAACTGGTTATTATGAAGTTATTTTAAATTTTTTAAGTTCAACCGTTTGGTTTCCTATATCGAACAAATAAACAAACTTCCTCTTTTTTTTATTATATATATATAGATATTAATAATTCAAAAGCAGTCTATATGAAGTTTTATCAGCAGAAATAATTTTAAAATAATAATTAATTAATTAATTAATAACCAAATTCAATGAATCTCTGCATTTCTTACAATTAGACAGTAGTTAAAAAATCTGTTTTGTACTTTGTTAACAACAATGAACAATAGAAGTTCAGATGTAACTCACATAACAATACTAGTGCCTACAAGTTGCTGGGTAAGTTGAAGAAGACAGCCAACTGTTAAAGCACGTTTAACAGCAGGATTTCTAATAATCTGAAGAAACACTGGTGTGGTACCTGTGAAACAAATGGGAAAGTATAGGTTCATACCTTCGTATCAAAGATATTATATCAAATTCATAACCTAAAGTTTCATCTTAGACCAATGATAAATTATGTACTGTAGACGTTCTCTGAACGTCCGCTTTTAGAGTTACAGAAACAGGAGTAAATTATAAAATTCTAGCAAAAAGGATTAAGCATCATATTTTCTCAATGTCTTTGAACTAGAATGCTAGCTTAAATATACCCGTATTTTGGTGTAATAACACAGTAATAAAATAGAGATTCTAAAAATAAATGAATAACAATTTTGGCGTTATCTCTAAAATATATATATACATACAACAACAAAATAATTTTCACAATAATAAAACTTGTGATTAATACGTTATCAAATCAATTAAAATTATATTTATTTGTTGTAAAGCATAAAACTGTATAATGGTCTATCAATACCACGGGTATTGAAACCCGATGTTTAGCTTTATAAGCCCACTGATGTACCGCTGACCCATTAAGGGTGAGGGGGTTAAAATTATGTACAGCCGTCAAAAGCTCACATTTCAGCTCAAAACAATAAGATAATGGCTTCTTTGAATGTTATTTAATCCTACCAGATGGAGCCACAATTGTTAATATAATATTTTTGCACTAAAATTCTATTTTAAGTATATGTTTTTTGTAACAACGCACAAATAATCTTGCTACAGCGTCACAGAAACCAGTTGAAAATTCAGTTTTCTACTCTAGCACTACTATGAGGCACCCAAGTTGGACGAAAACCGTCCACCCGACACCTATTAATTAAAGTTTTAATTCATTCATGAGTTCTATTTCTGTTGATCTATAAAATAAGTAATTAAATAACTCTATTATCATCATAATTATAGTTAACGTATGACATTAACTGTTAACGTAACTCTTTATCTAAATAGTCGACCATGATGCAATAAATTTTCGAATCTAATTTCAGTGGACAAAAGACTCGGCTAGTTCCATATACTCGCTATGGAAAATTTATGAAACATGCATATATAATGATTTAAATGATTTAATGGATTATATGACATTACCCACCTGTTACTATAAACCAGCAGGTTTCTGATATCTAGTAACAAAAATCTTTAGTTGGTTTACCTGACTGAATTTCACTGTATGTACTTAAGGTTACAGCTTTTAATTCTCACGATCCTTCAGTTAATTGGCCAATAACTTTTGTTAATTCTGATTAAGGAACAATCACAAAAATCTTTAGTTGGTTTACCTGACTGAATTTCACTGCATGTACTTACGATTACAGCTTTTAATTCTCACGATCCTTCAGTTAATTGGGCAATAAGTTTTGTTAATTCTGATTAAGGAACAACCACAAAAATCTTTAGTTGGTTTACCTGACTGAATTTCACTGCATGTACTTACGGTTACAAGTTTTAATTCTCACGATCCTTTAGTTAATTGGGCAATAACTTTTGTTAATTCTGATTAAGGAACAACCACAAAAATCTTTAGTTGGTTTACCTGACTGAGTTTCACTGGATGTACTTAAGGTTACAGCTTTTAATTCTCACGATCTTTCAGTTAATTTGGCAATAACTTTTGTTAATTCTGATTAGGGAATAACCATTTTTCTATAAAGACGTACACTTAAAAGTTGTGATTTAAACTTAAACAAAGCGATAAAGCTTTCACTATATAACTTCAATCAAATATCCTTCGCGCTATTTGTGCGTGTAGTTCCAAGTTTTTTAGAGCTGCATCTGACCTCTTTAAATGATAATCATATTCTTGGTATGCATACACTGGAATCTTTAGTTAATTTCAATTCTGAGGAAAAAATAAATAAATCGTACACTGAAGTTATTTTTTGCAATTTTAGTTATTATATTTTTTTCTCAAATATTTTGAAACAGTTTTTTTTTTTACTGGAACACAAAATAACTTTTACTCTATTGTTTTTACATTTTACTTCTATTAAGCCAATTCACACGGACGAGAAAAGTTTCAAATATCAAACATAACAAGTATATCTAAGTATCATTTAACCATATTCATGTGTGTAAACTAGGAAATAGAACCTTATTTATAAATATAGGTATATGTCATTTAACCATATTCATGTGTGTAAACCAGGAAATAGAATATTCTTTTTAAATATAGACATAAGTCATTTAACCATATTCATGTGTGTAAACCAGGAAATAGAACATTATTTATAAATATAGGTATATGTCATTTAACCATATTCATGTGTTTAAACCAGGAAATAGAACCTTATTTATAAATATAGGTATATGTCATTTAACCATATTCATGTGTGTAAACCAGGAAATAGAAAATTATTTATAAATAGAGGCATATGTCATTTAACCATATTCATGTTAGTAAACCAGGAAATAGAACCTTATTTATAAATATAGGTATATGCCATTTAACCATATTCAAGTGTGTAAACCAGGAAATAGAACATTATTTATAAATATAGGTATATGTCATTTAACCATATTCATGTGTGTAAACCAGGAAATAGAACATTATTTATAAATATAGGTATATGTCATTTAACCATATTCATGTGTGTAAACCAGGAAATTGAACCTTATTTTTAAATATAGACATAAACATTGAGATGAAATATCAGGTTATACTTCAATATCTTTTCCATTATGGTTGTGAAATCAGAGGTGTGTCACTTAAATAGCAAATTTTTAATTTAAATGAATAAATTTTCACAACTTTTTCAAGCAGCATAATTAAAGAATAGTATAATAGCCATAGTAAAGGAAAACAACTGATATCTCAATGCTGCCATGTGTGGCAAGTTTTATAAGTGAAGTATTTCGGACACTTCAAGTGGATCTTATTTGAAACAGATCACTTTAATGTTTTGGAATTCACTATTTTTTTTTTCAATATCAAATGCATCCACTTTCGGAAGCACGAACCTTTAGCTGTCACTTCTCTCTCTGTTTCTAAACAGTTTGTTTTGATTCCATCAAATTCCTCCTCTACATTTGTATTTTTCTCTCGCAGGTTCTTCAAAACTTTCAAAGCCTCTTGATATCTGCCCTGAGCAACCAGCCACCTTGGAGATTCCGGTATTGTAAGAAGCCCAAAAAACTGGATAAAAGAGGGAACTGCTGCTAATCCTAGCATCAATCTGAAAATAATTTTTTTCTTTCCTGTTTAAAGTTAATAAATATACGGTGTTTTCCTTTCGAAACGATGATAAATAGTAGATCTCAAACATAAATAACATACTTCGTGCCTTTAAAGTGATAAATATTCTATACATTATTTGTAAAGAGAATCGTATACAATTTTATAAATGAAAGTTTTTAAGTTCGCGATAAAGTCTTTTAAATGTCTTTTTTTTAGCTATATTTATTGATAACATCTGATCAAAACAAACTACGTACTTACACAGTTTAGTAAATAATGTAATTTCTTAAAACATGCTTAAATAACAGCATAATGCCATTAAAGAACCATGATAAAATCATCTATGATTAGAATACATTGTATTCTCATAGAAAAATCATTACATAGACAGTGGTAGTGGTTTGAAACAAACAATCATCTAATTAATGGCCACTGTTAATATTGAAAATATCATCTCATGAGACGGTTCATTATTCAATAAGAACATATTAATCATACTTTGTTTTCCTTTCAATAATAGTTTCCTTGGTTACCCTTTAATAAAGTTATATCGGAATAACATTTTTTTTGTCTATAGTATAACTCAAAGACACTACATATATATATGCTAATATGAGATTACACTAAATATTGTGAACCTAACAATTTGCATATGAAAACATGTTTTTAATGATAAAACACTTAAAATGCAATTTATAAAAATCGTTTTTCACCCTTAGGTAAAGTTTAAGAATAAGTTATATTTCATCTACAGTTTTCTGTCATTCTTTTTTTGCGAAGTAATAAGTCGAATATTACTTAAACAAGTTTGTGTTTGAACCGTTAGGCTTAACAATTGCCAAGAAATGTAAATATAGAATAGTTGATACAAATGTAGCAAAATATAGATCATTTCTAAATCACTAATGAAGTCATTTCTTGCCATATAAAGATTGGAAATTTCAATAAACACTAAAAGTATAACATCATTCACTTAAACGTTAAACTGAAACTAATTAAGTTTTAAGCTTAAACTCTTTTATCTCCTATCCAACCAGGAAAGCGATTATATGTTAAACTCAAATAAGTTGTTATCTCCTACTCAAACAGAAAAGCGATTATATGTTAAACTCAAATAAGTTTTTACCTCCTACTCAAACAAAAAAGCGATTATATGTTGAACTCAGGTAGTTTTGTTTATCTCCTACCCAAACAGAAAAGCGATTATATGTTAAACTCAAATAAGTTTTACCTCCTACTCAAACAGAAAAGCGATTATATGTTAAACTCAAATAAGTTTTTACCTCCTACTCAAACAGAAAAGCGATTATATGTTGAACTCGGGTAGTTTGTTGTCTCCTACCCAAATAGAAAAGCGATTATATGTTAAATTCATGTAATTTTGTTTATCTCCTACCCAAACAGAAAATCAATTACATGTTAAACTCAAATAAGTTTTTCATCTTCTATCCAAATCATAGATTAGAAAAAACTAAATGTTATCACCAAAGCGAGAGAAAATTACCAAAAGTCATAATATATAAATTGATATGATTTGTGAATAGCTCATACGATCTTTTAAGATCTGGTTAGGTAGCCTTTATTGTTAAAATATACGATCTTTTAAGATCTGGTTAGGTAGCCTTTATTGTTAAAATATACGATATTTTAAGAACTGGTTAAATGGCTTTTATTTTTACAACATACGATATTTTAAAAATTGGTTTGGTAGCCGTTATTGTTAAATCCGACACTCAGTAAGTCTTCACTAGAAGGCGCTGACCAGCATATTATCAAAACCATTGGAGCTCCTTAACTAACATTTTTATTGCGAAATTTTAATTTTATTTTTTAGGTAATGAATACCATTAGAAGGTACCAACAAAATATACTTCACAATATAGGTTCTGTGCATTAGCATCTGTGCTTTGAGTTGCGTGCATTTATTTACTGCTTTACCTAGACACATTAAAGGAATATTAAAGCTAACGATCTGATGTACTTTCAAAAAATGAATGAACCCACCACCGATGGATAATAATAACTGGACATTTACTCATAAAATCATAAAAAAATGTGTTCATTTTCTTCTTTGCTTTAAGAAACTATATAACACTGTACCAACACAGAACTTAGTATATAAAGTCATAATGCTGCATACTGTATGTTTCCTCATCCATACTCCAAGAGGGTTTCTAACAGCTTAAAAATTAAGAAAAATAATTGCCATTATTTTAAATCTAAATTAAAATTTAAACAAATCAGTTTGAGCAAATATATTGTCAAGACGGCCCTCCAAAACTAATACTGACCGTTAATCTAATTTTATATATATTTTGCATTTGGTCCTTTATACGCATCAGATCCGACATGGCCAAGTGGTTATGGCGCTCGACTCGTAATCTGCGGGTCGCGAGTTCGACTTCCCGTCACACCAGACATGCTCGCCCTTTCAGCCGTGGGGGCGTTATAATGTGACGGTCAATCCCACTATTCGTTCGTAAAAGAATAGCCTAAGAGTTGGCGGTAGGTGGTGATGACTAGCTGCCTTCCCTCTAGTCTTACACAGCTAAATTAGGGACGGCTAGCGCAGATAGCTCTCGTGTAGCTTTGCCAATTATGTGTTTCATCCCCCCTCACATACACACACTTCCCAGTTCAGAAAAGCTGGATCCGAGACTTTTGTCATCAGTAAAATAGCAATATTTCAACGGTTTTTAGGTCCTTCAGAAAAATAGTAAAAATCAAAATTAGTATTTTATAACCGACAGAAACAAGAAATTGGGGGGTTATAGTAAAGGAAACTATTTTCCTCTGAACCCTGTATTATGACAAACTTCGTCACCCTTACTAAACAAGCTGAACGTTGTAATTTGTACGAACGTAAGCCTAAATGGAAAATACTACAGCAAATAGCAAGCATTCAAGTTTAATCTTTCTCATTTCTTTTTAAAAGAAGTTTGGTATCTAATATTTTACCACGTAGTTCCTTACCAGTCCAAACTCACAGAAACAGTTGTAAGGATAGGGCTATAAATGAGGCAAATGGAGCATCCAGAACGGATCAGACGCCTGTCTCTACCTCCATCAACTCCGTGTTTTGTGAACGTCATCTTAGATGTACGTTTGGTTATATAGAAAATTGATTTTACACATTTGTCGCACTGTCTTCTGACGTTCTTCTTCATACAGTAATTAGAAGTTATCAGTATATATAGTAATATATTTAAGTAAGCTACAGAAAATTACATCAAAGTGAAGAACAGCGTGAATTTTACAAAGCATATCCAAACCTTAGATGAAATACAAATTTTGTAGAGAAGGTGTGTTTGTTTGTTTGTTTGAAGTTAAGCTATCTGTGCTCTGACCACCACGGGTATCGAAACCCAGTTTCCTGCATTGTAAGTCCGCATACATAAGGCTGTGCCACTGAGGGGTGGGAAGCTTGCAGAGAAGGAATAAATAAATAAATGAAAAAATATATTTGGAAAACAAATAAAAAACGCAGCCCCAAAAGAAATATCCAACACAGGGGCACAAATCATGAGCTGGGTTATTATGTAATGTCCACTGATTTTTTTTTTTAGGTACTTGCGGAAGAAAGACCCAAATTGCGTTGAGGATACACCATTTATCCGGTTTAACCTCAATTTCGACAACCTCACATGCTTAGAAAAGGAAAACATATATAGAAAAGGAGCAGATGTGGGTGCTCTAGCCCACAACGTCCCACATCTTTACTACATTTCGACTGTCTGCATCTAGAAGTAGGAAGGTGGTTGTTCAAAAAAACGAATATAATTGATAAGAAAGCTAATAATTAGAGTATTATACACCAAGTTGACATTCTAGCCCACATTATGATGTCTGGACATAAATACCAAGGTGTCAAGGTACCACTAAACCAAGTTCAAACTTTTGCTGTTATAATAGCTCCCATCCTCCACCATCTTCTCTAATCTTTTATTTTTTCTAAACATGTGAAGTCGGCGAAGTTGAGGTTAAACCGGATAGACTTTTACCCTTTACGCAATTTGGGTCTTAATACCACCTCAGAAAATCAGGGCACATTAGATAATGACCCGCCCTGTAACTTGTGCCTCGATGTTGGATACTTGCTTTCTGGCTGCGTTTTTATTTTTTCAGTTATATTCTTTCTTTCATTTATTTATTTATCATTCCTTCTATATCAAATTTAATTTAATTATATAGGATTATATATAAAAATATTAATTTTGAAGCTCTTCTTACCTGCTGCAATTGTAGTTTTTCTTCGTAGCAAAACAATTGCATCTCCTTGCTGTAAGTTTCTTTACATTCCCAGGGCTATACCCCTACCCATAATGGCAAAACCCAGGGCTATACCCCTACCCATAATGGCAAAACCCAGGGCTATACCCTACCCATAATGACAAAATTGCTG